TTTTGAGAAAGAGTCCCACTTTGTTGCCCAGGCTGGAGTGCAGTGTTGTGATGTCAGCTCACTGCAACCTCCACCTCTGAGGTTCAAGGGATTCTCCTGTCGGCACACACCACCACGCCCAGCTAATTTTTGTAGTTTTAGTAGAGATGGGGTTTTGTTATGTTGGCCAGCTGGTCTCGAACTTCTGACCTCAAGTGATATGCCGGCCTTGGCTTCCCAAAGTGCTGGGATTACAGGCGTGAGCCATCGCGCCCAGCCTTTTCCCTCACTCTTATGAACACATCTTCATTTTAGTTTGAAACAAGACATTTATTTACATTTATTTCTAATTGTAATATTAAGTTGATATATAAACGTAACAACAAACAATAACTTTGTAAAAAACCAACTAAAGAAGTACCTGCATAGCAATAGGTCCTTGGGACATCTGAGAGCTGTAATTCATTCCCATAATGCCCTGCATGTTAGGCTGCATGACAGAGACCATAGGAAATCCTTGTTGCTGCATCGGCATCAGGCCTGCTGAAAATGTAAAGCATTATTAAAGTCAATGTGTTTTAAAGTTTATTTTCTTAAAACCGTTAAGTACCTAAAGGACTTGTTACTTGGCAAGAAGCAGAGTGTAATGGAAAAAGCACAGGGTTCTGAGTGAGACAGATGTAAAGATGAATTCCAACTCTATCGTTTACTTAGCTGTGTGATCTTGAACAAGCTACAAAACTTCATCTGTAAAATGAAGATAATATCTCTTCTATGGAATTTGTATGCCTATTAAAAAACTAACAGTATGGCCTAATTGGGGTATTCATACCCTTGTGTTGTTCCATTCCATAGTGAATAGGGCTGACCAGTATAACCAACAGGATACTGTGGAAATGACAGCATATAACTTAAAAGTCTAGTTATTTTTTTTTTTTTACCCAGAGTCTCACTCTGTCACCCAGGCTAGAGAGTAGTGGTATGATCTTGGCTCACTGCAACCTCTGCCTCCTGGGTTCAAGCGATTCTCCTGCCTCAGGCTGCCAAGTCACTGGAACTACAGGCACCTGCCACCACGCCCAGCTAATTTTTACATTTTTAGTAGAGATAGGGTTTCGCCATTTTGGCCAAGCTGGTCTTTAACTCCTGACCTTAAGTGATCCGTCCACCTCAGCCTCCCAAAGTGCTGGGATTACAGGTATTAGCCACTGCACCTGGCCCAAAGGCCAGCTCTTAAAAGACACTGTAGTTTCCTCCTTGTTCTTTTTGATCACTTGCTCTGGAGCAAGCCACTGCCATGTTATGAGAATACTCAGTAAGACCTATGGGGAATCCATGAGGTGAGGTACTGAGGTCTTCTGCCAAAAGGCAGCATGAATTTGCCATCTATGTTAATCAGCTACCTTGGAAGCAGCTCCATGAAACTTTCAGATGACTGCAGGCCTGGCTAACATCTTTACTGCAATCTCATAAGAGGTCTTGAGCCCGAACCACCCAGCAGAGCTACTCTTAGATTCCTGACCCACAGACACACTATGAAATAATAAAATGCTTACTTTTTAAAGTTCGGGATAACTTGTTACACAGCAGCAGATAACTAACAAAATAACAGTTAAGGGCATGAACTCTGGGAGCCAACTAGAAATGCCAAATACTACTTTGGAGCCTTGGGCAATTTACTTCTTTCTTCTTGGTTTCTCATTTGTAAAACTGTTTAATACTTACTATGTTTAAAGAAATGTTATTCTTCTTCCTTTTCATTACATGAATAGGTAACATAACAATTATCACAAAATTGCCATAGCAGAAAACTATCATGAAAGTATGATTTAGGCTAGTGTTTTCCAAACTTTTCCAAGAGCAGAGGTGAATGAATATACATCCCTTTGGGATTTTGATACATACTAAATGCCTACCGTATGCTAGGCATACTACATGCTTGGTACACAGAAGTGAATAAAACAAAATCCCTACATAGCCTGAGCATAAATTTCATTCTAATTTTGCATTCAAACTACATCCATGTTGGTTCTACCATTAAGAAAGCAGCTTTATATCAAACTGTCAACTTAAAAAAATTAAAGATCTAGGAAATTATACCATGTTTATCTTATGGTTTTTGTGTACCTTCCAGGTTATTTATAATAACTTAGCCTAATTTCAGAAGCACAAACATTTGTGGGTAACAGTTATTACAGGTAGGCCATTCACTTATTCAAGTATTTGAGGCCTACTCCATATTAGGCACTGTTCCAGGGACATAGCCATGAACAAAACCAGGTCTTCACTCTCATGGAACTTACAGTGTAATCAGGACAGACAGATAATAAAAAAAAATAAGTACATGTCAGGTGGTGATAAGAGCTAGGGCAAAAAATAAAGCAGGGCAAGGGGGAATGGAGTGGATGCTATTTTACATAGGGCAATTAGAAAAAGTTTCACCAGGGTGGCATTTCAGCAAGGACCTCAAGGAAATAAAGAACCAAGCCATGCCAATATATATATGTTTTTTAAATTATTATTTTGATTTTTTTCTTTTTTTCTCCTGTTTTTAAAACCAGCCATGCCAATATTTGGGAAGAATATTCCAGACCAAAGAACACCAAGTACAAAGATCACAAGGTGTCATGGAGAATTAGAATACACAGATTGAAAATAGCCACAGTAAGATGTTTTCTGTCTTATTTCTCTGGACTTAAAGTTTTATTCATTTTAATTGACTTTAGTTTATTGAATGGGTAACTATGATACCTGGTATAACATTTCAAGGCACAAAAGCGTACACAGTAAAAAATAGGTCTCTTTCTTTCCTCTGTCTCCTGTTCAAGTACTCATGATCTTGTGGCTATCCTTGCTACTGGTTTCTTACATATGTTCTCAGAAATGATACATGCATAATTTAAAGCCTTCAAATGACCAAAAAGTCCATTCTAACAAACTGTTAAAAAAATAAAATCTCCAAACCAATTCCAAATTCCCTAAGAAAAAATATCAGGCAACATTTTGGGATCTCTTCTTGTCCAATTCCTTCACTCCATATGCAGATTTTTACTTGAAAGTTTATAGAAATGCAAAATAACAAACCACAATAATGAACATATAACTCTGTAATACCTTCCTAAAGAACAAAAGATCTCAAACCATTTGATCTCAATCTGGGACACATCTAATTACAGATAGCTTAAATAATGCAGAAACACGAACACGATGAAAACTATACAACTGACCCTTGGAAAAACTTACTTGAAACTCAACCACCATCACTGATTATAAATGAAGACAAAGCCAGGATGAGCCACTGACCACCTGCTACTGAGCTGCTCTTTATCTTTTATCTCTACTGGTGACCCAGGAGTCTCTGTTTCTCTAGCAAATCTATGATAACCAATCAACGCTGACTTTTTAAGAAGACCAGTTTTCAGAAGCAGCTTGGTGTGAGAGGAGACAGAATATATCAGAGTGGGAGAAATGAGCCGAAAGAATCAAGAGAAAGGCAGATATATTTATTCCTTCTTCACTGTTGTGTCCCAGGTGCATGGCAGCATAGGTCAAGATTATATTCCTTCACTACTATTTCCTTGAAGACAAAGCTAGAATTGATATTGGTGGGCCCTGGTCTGAGACCAAGAGAGAAGGGGCATACTTAGTAGAGAAATTTCTCGGAATAAAACAAAGACTTGGCCAGATATGGTGGCTTATGCCTGTAATCTCAGTGCTTTGGGAGGCCAAGGCAGGAGAAATCACTTGAGCCCAGGAATTTGATCCCATCCTGGGCAACATAAGGAGACCCTATCTCTACAAAATATTTTTAAAAAATCAGCCAGGGGTGGTGGTATGCACTTGTGGTCCCAGCTACCTGGGAAGCTAAGGTGGGAGAATTGCTTGAGCCTAGGAGGCCAAGGCTGTAGTGAGCTTGACTGCGCCAGTGTACTCCATCCAGCCTGGGTGACAGAGCAAGACCCCAATATCAATAAAAATAAAAACCCAAAGCCAAACAAAATCCTGAAACTTAAGCTGAATCAGAGTATGTGATCTCTTTTAATTTCAAAATTATATGTTTATAATACATGATTATAATAAGATACTATCAAATAGAGAAAAAATACCAGTGTGAAACAACTAAAGATGTTTGTTCATTCATTCAACAAACATCTACAGAGAATGTATTATGTTAAATCAGCATAGTGGGTGCTAGAGATGAGCATTAGACAGATGTGGCACTAACAATCAAAGAGAAAGACATCAAGTAAATTACAGCTCATTTCATTTTTATCACCTGTTCTTTAACATTCTTGTCCCAAAAGTCTCTTTCACCTCTGAGGTTAAACAAGCTATGAGCATAATGTTTATATAAGTTTCGGAGAAATTAAGAGTGATCCTTATAACTACCCAAATTATACAGTTTTTGAGAAATATTAAGAGTAGCTGCCATATAGGTTTAAGAGCATGCAAAATTTTACTCTACTTAGCAGCAACAGAACTTATTTTCTATTTACTTATTTAATTCCCAGATTAAGAAACACAAGAGTGAAAAATAAACATTCAAAACTTAAGCTTTCACATACCTTGAGGGGGTCTTATCCCACCTGCAACAGGAAACATGAAGCTGAAAACAGAATAAAAATACATCATAATCTTCATATGCACAAAGATTTCAAATAACACATGGTTTTTTACATGGATGAAAGACTCATTGATGGGATCTGGTGTTTGTTCTGCAGTACAATACTGAACTGCCCAACATCAGTAGATTAAGCATCCATGGATGCATGTCAGCATGCTAGTGGAGACAGAAACTTGTTGAAACAGCAGACACAAGACCCTGAAACTAGTCCTGGCTCTGTCACTGTGTGTCTTCTCTGGATTCCAATTTCCCCACTGATCAAATGAGAGAGTTTAATCAGATTCAATTCAGTCAACATTTATTGAGTGTCAACTACATTAAATGATGGAATCTTGTAATCTAAAAGACACATATGCAGGCAAATAACTATACCACAGGGTCAATGTGCTAACCGCTATAAGCGAGGTCCAAATTACTAATAGAAATGAGGAAAAAAAAATGAATTTGAATGGGATATATCTTGAGAAGTTTTATGGAAGTAGCTCTCGAGCTAAATCTTAAAGGAAAACAGAGGCACACTATCTATTTTGAGCAAAAGGTTTGAGGCAGAGATGCAGGGATGTTTGGAGAGATGAATGTAGGTCAAATGTTAACTATATGATTCAAAAGCAAGCAGACTGTACAGGGCCTTTATTTAATTAAAAAAATTTTGTTTTTGAGATGGAGTTTCACTCTTGTTGCCCAGATTGGAGTGCAAAGGCATGATATCGGCTCAATGCAACCTCCACCTACTGGGTTCAAGCAGTTTTCCGGTCTCAGCCTCCCAAGTACCTGGGATTACAGGCGCCTGCCACCATGCCCGGCTAATTTTTTGTATTTTTAGGGATGGGGTTTCACCATGTTGGCCAAGCTGGTCTCGATCTCCTGACCTCAGGTGATCCACCTGCCTTGGCCTCCCTAAGTGCTGGGATTACAGGCATGAGCCACCATGCCTGGCCAAAGGCCTTTAAAATGTTTAATTTTATTTTCGAGTATTATATGAAGTTGTCAGAGGTTTTATTGCTATTGTGGTAACAATATTACCACAATAGCAATAAAACCTCTGACAACTTCATATAATACTCAAAATTCAACATTTTTTGGTAACAATTTTATATGTAACATAAAATTCTATCATTTTAACCATTTCTTAAGTGTATAATTCCATGGCATAATTAAGAACATTCACAATACTGTACAACCATTACCACTATCCATTTCCAGAACTTTTCCATCATCCCAAACAGAAACTCTGTACCCATTCAACAATAAGTCCTCATTATTCTCTCTCCCCAGCCCCTAGCAACCACTATTTTGTTTTCTGTTTCTATGAATTTACCTGTTGTAGGTAGGGACCTCACATAAATGGAATCATATGATACTTGCTCTTTTGTATCTGGAGTATTTCACTTTGGCAAACACTTTCAAGGTTCACCTATATTGTAGCATGTATCATGATTTTGATCCTTTTTATGGCTGAATACTGTCTGCGTATGCCACATTTTGTTGATCTGTTCTCTTCATGGACATTTGGGTTGTTTCCACCTCTTGGCTGCTGTGAGCATTGCTGCTATGAAACAAAGACCTGTTTGAATCCCTCTTTCAATTCTTTCAGAGATATGCCTAGGAGTGGAATTGCTAGGTAGTATGGTAATTTTATGCTTACTTTTTGAGAAACTGCCAAACTGTTTTCCACAGCAGCTGCGCCATTTTACCTTTCCACTTGGAATGCAAAAGGGTTCCAATTTTTCCACATCCTCACCAACACTTGTAATTTTCTGGGTTTTGTTTTTATTATTTTTTTCTGAGATGAGTCTCGCTCTGTTGCCTAGGCTGGAGTGCAGTGGCACAATCTTGGCTCAAGATTGTGAGCCAAGCAATTCTCCACGTTCAAGCAATTCTCCACCTCCCACGTTCAAGCAATTCTCCCAACTCAGCCTCCTGAGTAGCTGAGACTGCAGGCACGCACCACCATGCCGGGCTAATTTTTGTATTTTTATTTATTTATTTTTTTTGAGACGGAGTTTCGCTCTTGTTACCCAGGCTGGAGTGCAATGGCCCGATCTCAGCTCACCGCAACCTCCGCCTCCTGGGTTCAGGCAATTCTCCTGCCTCAGCCTCCTGTGTAGCTGGGACTACAGGCACGCACCACCATGCCCAGCTCATTTTTTGTAGTTTTAGTAGAGACGGGGTTTCACCATGTTGACCAGGATGGTCTTGATCTCTTGACCTCGTGATCCACCCGCCTCGGCCTCCCAAAGTGCTGGGATTACAGGCTTGAGCCACCGCGCCCGGCCTAATTTTTGTATTTTTAGTAGAAATGGGGTTTCACCATCTTGGCCAGGCTGGTCTCAAACTCCTGACCTCAAGTGATCTGCCTGCCTCGGCCTCCCAAAGTGCTGGCATTACAGGTGTGAGCCATCACACCCAGCCATTTTTTTTTTTTTTTTGAGACAAGGGTCTGCCATGTTCCTCAGGCTGGTATCAAACTCCTGGTCTCAAGCAATCCTCTCACCTTAGCCTCCACAGTAGCTGAGATTATAGGTGACAGCCATGGTACCTGGCTTATTTTCTGTTTCTTTGATGATAGCTATCCTGATAAGTGTGAAGTGATATCTCATTGTGGTTTTAATTTGCATTCCCTTATGTCAGAAATTTTTAAGTAGGAGAGTTATACGATCAGAAATGAGCTTTAGGAAGTTATTCTGGTAACAGGGTATGGCAGAGAAAAAGTAAAAAGAACTAGTTAAGAAACTATCACAATAATCTTAAGAGATGAAAAGTATCATAATGAAAGCAGTAGAAATGGAAAAGTAGAAGTAAATAAAAGATATGTAAAAGAAAGGATCACTATGACTTGGCAAAGGCCAGGATGGGGGAACAGTAGTGCAAAAGCAAAAAGAGCTGAAGATGATGCTGAGGCCCTGATCCTGAGTAACTGCAAAGGATGGTGATGCATTCAATGAAAACAGGAAGCTCAATATGAGCAGGCTTGGGGAGAAAGGTGGTAGGAGTGTGTTCATGAGGAACAATTTAGCAGGCAATCAGAAAAGTAACTCAAGCTCAGGAGAAAGATCTAGAGAAATCTAGTTAGGCTTTTTTTTTTTTTTTTTTTTAATTGAGACAGAATCTTGCTCTACCACGCAGGCTGGAGAGCAGGGGCACAATCTCCACTCACTGTAACCTCCATCTGCCAGGCTCAAGCAATTCTCCTGCCTCAGTCTCCCATGTAGCTGAGACTACAGGCAAGCACCACCACACCTGGCTAATTATTGTATTTTCAGTAGAGATGGGGTTTCACCATGTTGGCCATGCTGGTTTTGAACTCCTGGCCTCATGATCTGCCCGCCTTGGCCTCCCAAACTGCTGAGGGTACATACAGTCTTACAGTGAAAACTGAATAGGAAATGCTCATCAAGAACCAAGAAAGTGCTTATAACTGAGATTTACAACTGAGGAAGGACCACATTTCAGCAAGGAAGCAGTTACCAGTGGCTAATGCTGTAAAATGGTGGTGAGAATGAAGATTAAAAAATGAATCACTGCTTTCACAAATGGTGATCTTTGAGTGAGTAGTTTCAATAAAGAGATTCTAGGGAGAAAAAATTTAAGAGATAGAATACCTACTTAGTGATTGATAAGGTTTTTGAGGAAATGGGATTAACACGCAAAGTGGCAAAAGGGGGCAGAGGCTTGCGGTGATGCATGCCTGTAATCCCAGCACTTTGGGAGGCCAAGGCAGGCAGATCACTTGAGGTCGTGAGTTCAAGGCCAGCCTGGTCAACATGGCAAAACCCCATCTTCACTAAAAATACAAAAATTAGTTGGGCATGGTGGCATGTGCCTGTAATCCCAGCTACCCGGGAAGCTGAGACATGACAACTGCTTGAACCCAGGAGGCAGAGGTTGCACAACTGCACTCCAGCCTGAGTGATGGAGCCAGACTCTATCTCAAAACAGAACAAAACAAAACAAAGTAGCAAAAGGGATCTGCTTTGAAAAGGAAGTGGGACTTCTTTCTCTGAGATGGGAAAGAAAAAGGGACAAACCAACAAAGACTTCTGAGTGAGAAAGGCTCTTAATCTGGGAGTCAAGGATCGGAAAAGGAGGTTTCTAGATACCGTTTAGAGAATCTAGTGAATGGCTGGGTCTGGTGTCTTACACCTGTCATCCCAGCACTTTGGGAGGCCAAGGTGGGAGGACTGCTTAAGACCCCGACTTTGAGACCAGCCTGGGCAACGTAGTGAGACCCATCTCTCCAAAACAACAACAACAGTAATAAATGAAAGAGATAATAGTGATTCCTTTCCAGAAAGGTTTCAATTTACTGCACCTAGTTCCATCAAAAGAATCAGTATCTATGAGAGTTACAGCCTCATGGAATGAATTTTTCAAATAAGAGATGGAAGGAGAAATCACTCGATTCATGGACTGCAGAATGGATGTTGCTTTAGCAGGCATGAGAACATTAACCTTCTTATGCATTGCCATCAGAGCTCTTGGGTGACCAGCCACATTGTCAATAAGCAGTAATATTTCCAAAAGAATCTTTTTCTGAGCAGTAGGTCTCAACAATGGGCTTAAAATACTCAGTAAACCATGCTGTAAACAGATATGCTGTCACCCAGGCTTTGTGGTTCCATTTACGGAGTATCGGCAGAGATTTAGCATTTTAAAAGCCCTGACATTTTCAAAGTGGTCCATGAGCATTGGTTCAACTTAAAGTCACCTTATGCATTAGGCCCTAACAAGAGAGTTAGCCTGTCATTTGGCGCCAGGCATTGACTTCTCCTTTCTAGCTAGGAAAGTCCTAGATGGCATCTTCGTCTACAGTTAAAATCTGGCCAGGCACGGTGGCTCGCGCCTGTAATCTCAGCACTTTGGTAAGCTGTGTCAGATGGATCACTTGAGGTAAGAAGTTCAAGACCAGCCTGGCCAACATGGTGAAACCCCGTCTCCACTAAAAATACAAAATTTAGGCCGGGTGTGATGACTCATGCCTG